TATTATTTCAAAGCTACTATTGTTCGAAATGAAATATTGGTGATGAGTAACGCAAAGATACTGTCACGATTTTTTTTTAAAACTTTCCATGACAGAAATTTCCGTTGTACATTGTTACCGCGTAATGTCTACCGCAGAGGTAACCATCAGAAAATATGAAAATTTTATAATATTTGTTTATTAATACGCCGCTCCTATAGATTGAAGTGTAATGTTATATAGACTTCCTGGGAATATCGAACACAAAAAGATTGTTTGATTCGAATCAATAGTTCAGCATTATATTTAATTTATAAAAAAATAAATTAAACCTGTGTAAGTGTTTTCGAGGATGTTGTTATTAGTATTGTCTTTGATTAACCTTTACACATTTAAAGAAAAAACTTTTCTCTTTTTTTTAGTCGATACCAACTCCGGGAAAATAAATACAGATAATGCTACTTTCTCTACAGCTGTGATACTTTTTGACATCCAACAACTTTTGTCTTCAGTCACCGTGACCACGCACGCTGTAAAGCACGCGAAACGTCGGTTAAATTTAAAATTATGTTAAATAATTGTAAATTTATAATAATACATAACTTTAATCCGGTTAAAAAGTTTTTTCTTTAGATGTTGTTATTACCTAGTCCAGCCATAAAGCCAATTTTATTTTAATGAATAATGTTACATTACAGTACCAGGCCATTTATAAGTCGCATCGTACTTTAGAAAGAGATACCGGTTTCAAGCTTAGGTAGTTCGTGCCTTGGGACCAGAATCCTGCTGGAAAGCGCAACATTTTTTTTTTTTTTAAGTGTTTTGCTGAGAGGTTTCAAACCATGATCCAAGGCTGTATATTAATGCACTTTTTCACTTCTTATTCACAAAAATGTAGTTTTGTGACTCCTTGATAAGACACGCCCCGCCAGACCATCACTGACGCAGGACGATGACGACGTTGTACCGACCACTTGAGCAGCTTCTTTATAACTGTTAGCGTACACTTTATCATTATGCTTATTGTAGTGTTCTTCAATCGTGAATTTTTTTTCAGCGGCCTTCTGTGCTCAGGTACGAAACCTGCGACAGAAGGCGTTTTGATCGATCCACTCTTTAATTGTAAAGATTCATTTAGGGCATGTCCTGTTTATCGACGATAAGCACCGAGCTTCAGGTCTTGTTTTATAACACGCAACAGAGTCGTAGCGGGAATCTTCATTTCTCGCGATAAGATTTTTTGCTTCCTAATGGGGTTTCGACGAATTCTGGCTTTAACAGCATTAACAGTTTTGTAGTTCTAACAGCACGCGGTCGCCACGATCTTCACTGGTCTTCGATAGACGAAGTGTTATTGTATCTGTTGATAGTACGATATACGAACATACAGCTGATACCAAGCTTTTGAAGTACATATCTGGAATATGACCGACGGCTCCATACCCACTTTGTGTAAGGCGATCAACTGCAATTCTATTTTCTTTAACACCCCATTCCATATTGTAATTTGATAATGAACACGAAAAATATGTGAAATGGCGCAAATTCTAAAAATAATTAAAAAGTTGAAAAAAATGCATTTTCATTTGTAACAGAACTTATGGCCAGTCTAGTTATATATCTATATATAGCCAAGAGCAATTTATACGCAAAAGAAACGACGCAAAACGGGTTTTATGAGTATAAAATGTCTCTCCTCTGGTAGTATAATAGATGAATAAATTATAAACTAAAGTTTATTAAATATTACGTTTTCTTTTTAAAATTAGTCCTTGATTATTACAATATTTTTATGACGCTTATAAACTAATAGCTTCTAGATGTAACGTAACGTAGGTAAAGAAATCGAAGCACAACGCGCAACGCATGGGAATTTATGAATGAATACTATCTATAGTTCACGCAATAGGACAGCGACCTATGTCAATGGTCAAGGTCAAAAACGGAATTTAAATACGCTTAGGCTTATAAATAAACATTAATATCAAAAAATATTTTTAGTACTATTACTAATAGAATAGTGAAATGGAGGTAGAATATTTTATTAATAAATACATTGTAAAATATGCCCTTTCCAACAAAACCACAGAATGTAAATTATGTATACATAAACAGTGAACCAAATGTGAATTTTATAAAAAAATATGTTTAAAATCTTTCACTCACCTTTTTCATTCCCTCCACTTAAAAAATCAGTTGACATCACAAATCACCCACAGAGTTTAGTGCGTAACGAAAGAGAAAGTGTTATTTACGTACCTACATGTGAGACGTCAAAGATTTTCGCGGCGACTGGCAGTAAGGACGCAAGAAGGTCGCTTGCAGTGTCGCGCATGCGTCATGATGCTCACAAAGTATTCTGGTTGCCAAAATCATCAAAATATTTCATACACTAGCGACGGGCCTTGACTAGGTTCGAATAGGATTATTATTGCTTGTCATGATGAGAATGAACTGAAATAATATTATTGCTATAAACAAAAATTTCTACATGTGTTTTCTTACTATTTGCGAAGCCTGCAAGGTGGTAATAAAAGTATTTTAATAGGGATTATTCAAAACATGCAAATCATGACAGAACCGATTACATACCCACTTCACGACAATGATTCCGCCGTGGGTACTACAGCACCATACTGTTTTTTTGCGTGCTTGTGGCCAATAGGTATAAAATAAGAAGTCCTACATTATATAACTGTGTTAATTGAAAAAAATAAAATATATTTTAAAAACTGTTGTATTAACAGTTAACACAGGTTTATTGGTTTTTTTTTTATAGAACAGGGGGCAAACGGGCAGGAGGCTCACCTGATGTTGACGCACTCGCGAGCCCTCTGGCATTGATGGACACTCAATGCCAGAGGGCTCGCGAGTGCGTTGCCAGCCTTTCAAGAATTGGTACGCTCTTTTCTTGAAGGACCCTAAGTCGAATTGGTTCGGAAATACTTCAGTGGGCAGCTGGTTCCACAAAGTGGTGGTGCGCGGCAAAAACTGCCTTGAAAAACGCTCAGTTGTGGAACGGAAGTTCCACGTGGATGGTTATGTTATTTATCACTAACTCGTGGAGTACTAACATGCCATAACTCACACTATATTGTGTATTAGTGGACTACATATTTTAATTAAAAAATAAGGTAAGTACCTGCTAAATAAATCGAAATGTAATGTTTCTTACTTTCCTTTGATTATATTTGTTTTGTGATTCTAGAATTCATCACTTCATCACATAAAAATATGGTTATAATTAATAAAATAGCCAACCAAAGAAATATATGGCCAACGTTCACTATTAAACCAATGTCAACGATACTATACCGTGTACAAGAGTCACCGTCGTCATGACAAGGTGCTGATATGGTGAAATGTATTGTTATATGCTGGCAAACTACTGAATAAAAAAAATAGGCCGTAGGTTTCAGCAGTTGATACTTTGTACATAAATTAAATTATAATTGTAAGAATTCTGCCCACTTTTTTTTTATATTATGGCAACAGCTTGAACTTTATAATTCTGCCCACTTTGTACCTGATGATGTAGCTAACGCCATCTAGCTAGATCTCTTTTTTATTAAAAATGTATTAACGAAAATTTTGCGGCAAAACACTGGAATAATATTTGTTTCATTTTTTTACGTGATTTTTTAAATATAATTATCACTTCAGTCTTATTCAAAGGTTTTGACATAAACATATACGCACAAAGATTAAATCGTTACCATAATGTATGAAATGCGACGTTGATCAACGAGATGTCGCTGTAATAAACACACATTTAAAATTTTATCCTATAGAAAATGATTAGGTACCTATTATTAATCAAGATTTTTTTTTACTTTCCCATAATTGAAAACTTGTAAACATTAGGATATCTTCATCAGTCAATTTTTTAACATATTTTATTTTAGGTAGGTTCCAAGTCATTCTTTTCCTAAATATTTTAACTAAATTTTATACGTAATAAAATATTATATTCCCCTTAAGTTTTTTATTTTATAAAATCAAACATGTTAAGCACTTTTTCTTTTTGCCTTTCATTGCACCTTTAATTGAATGTGCTCAGGTTACCGTAACATGTCAGCTCATATAACATTATTGTTTGCACTATACAATATCATGTGTGGACTGCTTTGGCAAGGGCACAATAACGCCAACAATTTCCTGTTCCACATATAGAAAATAAATGAGAGTATTATTTTATCAAAGTTAGTACCCAAGTAACAATAATATAAAAGCAGTCTGCTATTGTGAGGATAAAAGTAAATTAAAGACATAATAACAAGCTCGTTTTACAATTTTATTCATGTAAATTTGCAGATATAATTAATACAAATTATGGTCATGTAAACTGGGTTCAATGTTAAATAATATATCAACTGGTTAAGGTCACTGTATCACGCTGCCTCTCATCTCCAAACATTGTAAATTTCTTTAAGCGACTTGTGTCATTCAAATATAAAAAGGCAGTCTCGGAATTGTGGTATTACAAATAATGCCTTACTCTCTAATTCATAGTATGAGATTTTTGTGATAGTGATTAAGACAAACTTAAACTATGTGAAATATCTATCCAAATGGCTACAGTATACATGCATGACATTAGACATTCTCACATTACAGGTGGCTTTAGTGCATTACTAAATAAACTAATAATTTACTAAAGGTTAATGCGATAATACCTATATTGTCTATCATCATACATCACAATTTTTACTACAGCTATCTGTACAATTATTTATTGGTGTTATCTGAATGCCAATAATGCTCATCTTGTACAATGCACTATATTTGAGCAGCAGGTATTATATACAGTGCTACTAATATTAATCTCTTTATCAGCATTTATATTGTACATTATTTTATGGAATCAAGGACAGCTAACAATACAATCACAAACAAAACCATTCACAGACAGATTTATAAATAAACTTTTGATTAGAACAGAAAACATTTATATACTAAGGGTGTCATCACTACTGATTTCATGAATACTAAAATTATTCATACATCCAAGAGAGAGCAGCTCAGTTATCCTCAGATTCATTTTGTTCCTGTGGGGTTGTCTTCAACCAAGGGTGTTGAAGACATTCATAGGCTGTAGCTCGCCGATTAGGATCAAAGTCTAACATAGGTTTTAAGAAATCAGCAAACTCCTCAGCGTCAGTTTGACTCCATTCATACTTTTCAGTTAGGACAGAGACTAATCCCCATGGCTTCAAGCCTGTTATATTTCTCAACTCTCCTTTTTTGTTGAAGAATATCTTTGAGTATTTTCCAGAAGCTGCAATTCGTTTAGGGATGTCTCCTAAAAGCTCTATTATGTGAGCTAGATGATCTTCATCACGACTATACCCTTCTCCAGAGTGGGGTTCAAATAAGTAGTCTCCCGTTGCTAATTCAAATGCCATGCAAGCTGTACTCCAAATGTCAGCAGATGTTCCATAGCCAGCACTTAACAGGACTTCTAAAGAACGGTACTGTCTAGTTTGAATGTCTTCTGTAAAATGTCGGTGAACCCAACATGCATTACCTAGATCAGCAATTTTTACTTCAACTTCACAAATATCAAAGGCTGGATCTGGTCTTTTATCATCAGACGCCTTGTTTGGGATATTAAAAGACGGAGGGGTATCAGTCAATTCACCTTCTGACATTGGTGTTCCTGCATCATCACCACAACCATACTGTTTGCTTCTTACCTGAACAGCTTCAGCATCAGTATCGAAAGCTTCTTCATCTGCTCTTTGTAGATCATTACAACCATTAACAGTAGACTCATTTTCAGATCTAGTCTCAAGAACACTAACATCCTCAAATGTTTGAGGTGAATCATCAATGTCTTGAGACATTGGAGCTGACTCACTATTATTGGGACCTTTCTTTTGCTCCTCGATCTCTTCTATTTGTTCCATTTGCTTCTTTAATAGCATTGATTGCCGTTTCGCTTTTTTCTTTAACTTTTTCTTTTTATTCCTACTCATTTTACCTGTAACAACCTGCTCTTGAAATTCCTTTGGTGCCGTACTAATCAGAGAATGAGGTAATCTGAGACCCAAGGAATGTAACTCAGTAGCTTCTGCTGCTAACTTTCGTATGTATGTTTCATCAACACACACTAAAACATTTTCAGGCTTAATATCAGTGTGAATTATCTTACATTTAGTATGAAGATAATCTAAGCCTTCTAAAACTTGATGTATAATGGTTTTTACATTTTCTCGAGGTATACCTCGATAATTAGACTTCAAAATCAACTTTAAAAGGTGATGACCTAGAACTTCAAACACCATACACACATGTGTACCATTTACACCAGTAATTTTAAAATCATTTAGTAATTGAACAGTTTTATTCCTTTTGGGATCAGAAGGGTCACTGTCTCGGACAGCTTTAAGTATTTTAATTTCATCTAGGGCAGTCTCGGTAAAATGCGGCGCTGATTTTACCACTTTTAAGGCGACGAACCGCTTATCCACGAGATCCCAACACAGCCACACAGTAGAAAAATGACCCCATCCTAGCTTTCGAGTGACGTGGTATCGGTTAAGGAATAAGTCTCCGATTTTGACAGGATGATAACCACCCTTGCAATAGTCTGCACTGTCCTCCTGCTCCTCGTCATCACTTGCGTACTGCTCGTCGTCATCTTCTTCGATAGTTTCATTGGAAGAACTATGTGTCGGTTCGAGACGATTCTGAGTTTGATTGCGCAGCCCGTTTCCTTGTACACCAGCGCCGTGCTCCTCCTCTCGGTTTTTCTTTTTGCCTAATTTATGACGTTTCTTTTTCGCCTGAATGGCGAGAACCCTCCTATTTACATCTGATTTAGAACTCATTTAGCAAATTACAACACTTTTAACCAGTTGCGATATAAGTAAATTTATCGTTTCATCTCAACCTTTTTGTTTGAGTATGGCGGCCGGTTGCAGACAGAACAAAACGCGCTCGCACAAGAAAATTACGAGTGTTACCAACGTTAGAGTGTTAAAAGGGAGTTGGTGGTACTTTCTAAAGTAATAATTAACGGATTCCAAATACCAAAATAATTTTAACGTAATGAAAACATTTATTACTCATAATAATCTCGCGCCAGTTATGCAGAAAACTATATATTAAAGTTAAACCTCCAAAGAATTTTAGACTACCAACACTGCTGTACGTCATTAATCACAATTAAGGCATTATGTAGGGAAAAATTGTGATATCTGTGGACGCTGCATATATTCCATACATAATATAAATTATAAGATCCTAGTCTGTATTCTGTAGATCTATCTGCGAGGTCAATTGTAGTCCAGTCATTTTAGGGGGTTGACCTCGGAAAATCGACATACCCAGAAAATTACCACATAAAAACTTGTATTTTGGCATCCTAAAACAGTTCTCAAAATTCACATATAATTGGATGGCCGCAAGTTTTGAAGTCAAAGGTCACAAAAATCGTTATTTTTTTTAGATTTTTTGTAAATATCTGGTTTTCTATGGGTTTTACGCTATTTGTATTTATTATCAATATTGTAGAGAATTTAATTCTTTATTTAATAATTTTTTATACCTTGAATTGCTTTCGAGATATAGGGCGTAGAGCGCGCGGTCAGAGAATTATCTTAGGTCAACTGGTAGTCTCCATAAAAAACTCGTAATATTAAGGTTATAATTTATTGCTTAACATATAATTATCATTTTTATTAAGTTTTAGATTAAATTATTGTTATAAACAAAGAGAGCAATCGCGATAGTGTGGTTGAAGCTCTCGCCTCGTAAAGAGTGTGGATGGGCAACTAAGTTCAAATTGTCCAATGTCCAGTGCCCTTGCTTTACCTGCTGCCAGTTGTTACTTACGGTTATAATGTTTTAATTCTAGCGAATTAATCAAAATTATATTTCATGGGCTGAATTTAGGTAGATTTGATATTTTGTCCAAAGTTCAATTTTGATAATTAAGTGATGTTAAAATATTGTAATTAATAAGTTTTCTAGCCGCCTTAATCTAGTTTATATACAGAATTATAATGCATGAAATTTGCATGAAAAAGAGTAACTCCTATATTTTTATTTCATTCTATTAACGAGACTGCAATAATTGTTTTCTATTTATTTTTAACATCTACTGTTTTTTTTTGTTTATAATGAACTACAGCCCCGATTTGAAAAACTATTTCACAAATATAAACCCTACTAATACGAGCAAAGAAACTAAAACTGTTGCAAAAGCGTTTCAAAAACGATACAAAATATTTGCTCCCTATATTATACTAGTAGACCGGCCAAGCGTTGCTGTGGCTAAGGTTTTTGTTATATTACATAGTAGTAAACTATTCAAGGGAAACGGTAGGAGAACTTATGTGAAATGTTGGTACTTTTAACACAGCGCCATCTGTTAGAATTGTATTAAATAATAAACAAATATTTGCAATAAAATAATATTGCGGGCATAAATTGAGATGTTAGGTATCCTATCTTTTAAGTTAGATCAAACTGCACACGGTGTGCAAATTTGATTGATATCGGTTCGGTAGTTTAGGAGTCCATAGCGGACAAACAACGTGACACGTAATTTATATATTATATTAAGATAATTATTGCCGACTTTAGAAAAAATATTTTTGTGCTGGATGGACCACTTATTGAGGAGGCTTTACTATTAAAATATCACTACGATTGAATTAATGTAGAATCTACATTGTAGATGATAGGTAGATGTAGATGACTCTTAAATCATGCCTTAGCATTTCAATTTTTTGAGTATTTTATTACTAAATTTATTAATTTAAAAATGATATGGTATCTCGGTCTACTCAGTATATTATAATATAAAATAAATTGAAATACAGTAAATAACATTATATTTAATTATTTTTGAACATCTAAATATTACCTATCTACTTAACTGACTTTGTCCCCTGCCTTTGGGAATCAATCGTTTCGTTTTGAATTTCTCTAACTGACAACTTCTTAATAGGAAGTAAAATTAAACCTCCAAGTGCTATAAAACACCCTGCTTCATAAAATGCAACTGAATATCCAAATAAATCTTTTAAGAAACCCGCTACAGGAGAACTAAAAAAACTACCTAAACCCTGAAATAACAACAGAATACCGGTAGCATTTGTTAAATTATCCAATCCGTATAGAGAAACTATTATGAGACTTCTTAGCGATGCCATGCAAGATATAAAAAAACCGTATAAAACACAGTATGAATATTGATAATATAAATCGTATGAAAACGTAGAACATATTGTACTAGTTCCTGCTATTATCATTGATGTTACAAATAAATATACAGGTTCTATCCTAAGAGCAAGTGTCCCTATTATGAGTCTCCCGAAAGCATTAGATAACCCCATGACACTGACAAACAGAGTACAATGTTTTGGATGTATTCCTGCATCCTCATTTCTGGTTTGAATAAAAACATATGGAACGAGAAATCCTACGTATATTAAAAATCCAGCCGAGCAAAGACACCAAAATGAAGTCTTTCGTAATAATTTGGGATCCATCATAGTTGCTAACACTCTTCTTGCGGCCGTAGTAAATACGCCTCTACGCTCTCTTAAATCGACAGCAGTGGCAGCCCTTGAAACTGCTAGTTGATACTCAAGACCAGTTTTGTCAGTAGTATCGACCATACTTTTCTGATAAGCAGGTAGTTTCTGCAATTTTCCATCGTAAAATACATCATCACGATACATGGGTCTTGACTGAGGAACATGCTCTTCCCAGCGAAATAATCTTCCCCAGAAACTTGTCTTTTTTGGTGGCTCAACGTTTACAGTAACCTCTATTGCTTTTTTAGCTTTGTCCTGAACGCTTGTTCTCGACATAATTGATTGTACTTGCTTTAACTGTCGTGGGCTTATGCCCCCTTGAGGTGCGTTTGCAGTTAGGGTTATCTTAGATACAGTTGCAGTAGAAGGTCCTGCTTGCGAAGCTGGTGTCGAGCCTGTATCATCGACCACTGCTGCAGCAGTAGGAAAATTAGAATTGGATGCTGCACCAAACAAGCGTTCCGTTGTGGTGGGCATGATTCCTTCTGTCCTCGTGCGTGATACTGTACTCTTTAACGCTGCCGCAGATAAATTTGGTAAATAGGTTACAGTACGAGTAGGATCTTCAGTTGTTGTGACAACCGTCAACGATAACAAAGGTTGAAATGCCATACCAAGAAAAAAAATTAAGCCAAAAAGACCCGAATGAAATAAAGTTGTTGCTCGCCAACCTGCTAGTTTGGATAAATGAGCGTTTGCTGATGACAATACCATGACACCCAAACTTGAACCAGTTGTAGATATTGCTAAAGCAATTGACCTTAACTTTTCAAAATAAAATCCAACTACAAGGCTAGCAGACATATTGATAAGACAATATCCGAAACCAGCAAAAAATCCGTAAAAAACACACAGTGACGTAAAATTTGTAGAGAAATAGGATGTTAGCAAAGAGAATGAACTAATTACTGATCCAGACATAGCACATGCACGGAATCCAAAACGGTTTATGAAGGCAGAAGCTAAAGGTCCCATCATGAAATAAATTGCAACAGCAATAGAATTCACCAAGGGTAAAGTAGACACTGATATATTTAAATCGGTAGACATGTCGTTTAGTATGCTGCCAAAAGTAAAAGCAACGCCATCTAAGATAAAAATTATCGAAAAAGAAGCAGCTACAACAACCCAACCCCATCCTCCTTCCTCTGGTACTGATATTTGAGCCGCTATTTCAGTTTCTTCTCCTCCTTCTAAGTTGTCAGGCCGACTTACTACTCTGCTTGGAGTAAAGAGCATGCTCTTTTTAGGTTCATTCTTTATAAGTATTGGTTTTGGCGGCATATTTAAGAAAAATATTTGAATGTCTTATAGATTTAAAAAATATTTCCAAACAAGTTTCATTCTTTAAAACTTATCACAATAACAAAACGTTTTCATTTTACATCTTTATGTCAAGTAATGCGTATCCTATGCGTTTTTATATTTACTTTATTAAAATTACGCTTTATTCTTCAATATTATGACTTATTTAATAACAGTGCAAGTAAGTGACAATTACAGTTTGTTTGGCGCAGTCTATCAAAGAAACTTAAATATGTAATTTTTTTTCAATCATCTACATTCTAGACTGTAACCACCTCATCGCTTTTGATACACAGACCGATAAATAATATTGGCCTGAGAACTAAATTGAGTAATGTTTTATTTAGAGAAACATAGAGATTGCAAAACGACATATTCAGTCATTTTGCACTTCAGTTGTAAAAATACGTTACATGCAAATTAGTTCTTATTGCTCATCTTTTCTTCGTCTCTTAAAGTAAGATCACTTGTACGTGGGCTACGTCGAAGGTGAAAAATTACGGTGGCCATAGTTCGCACTTCGCAGTAACGTTCCTTCCTCTATGGTTATAACTGCGGTAAATACTAACTAAATCTGTGGTATACTACTAATATCTAATCTGTGTGGTTGATGGCTTTATCTGTCATTTATTTAAAAAAAGTGCTTTCGTTTAGATTGTAATAAGTGTTTAGTGTTAACTGTTAACGGATTTGGAGGGAAACGGCTTACAGGATACAATTGTGAAAATCGCTTTATTTTTTACTCTATTTTACAAGTGAGGAACTTTTCTTATGGTTCCACGTTACGACACTTATTAATACAACATGTCACAAACTACTTTGACCAAATTTTATAATACTAGAAAAAGACCAGCAGCCGACGACATAGTAAGTTCTAAAAACAAAGTACCTCACATCGATCGTAAATTAGAGATAAGCAAGACCGCTACGCGAGTAATTCACAAGGGGAATTGTGAAGCAATTAAAGCAATAGTGAAAACAGTTTCGGCCACAGACACTTCAAGCCAGCTTTCGAACTCATCCCAAGACAATGGTGTCGAAGCTTCTACCAATAAGGTTGGAGAAAAAGAGGGAAATAATACCGTCTTTTCGAAAAAGAATAATTCTGCAAATGCGGCCAGAAATAATGCAAGCAAAGCAGACTTAGTTACTTCAGCTCGAAAAGAGTTAAGCTTGGGTGACATAAGAAAAAAGTTGGCAAGTAGTTCTAGGTTAGCTGAACTGAAAGCATCAGCAGACCGAATAACCAAGGGAATACAAGAACTGAAAGACAAAACAGTGAAGAAGAACCTTAAAGAATTTAGTTCAATTGATGTAGCTATACCACAGAGGTATGATATTTTTTATTTCAGATAACAATCTGAACATTTTACATTAGATGTTACACAATTTAACTATTTATAGATTAAGTTTTATTCATTATGATTTTATAATGTTTATTGATGATTTTTATCATTTTATATTGTTATATGTGCCTCTTTTCAGCCCTTCCAAGAGAAATCAAATTCAAAAGGACTTCTTATCCCCAAAGAAAGATGATGTTAATATTTCAACACAAAGACCCCTTATATCCCCTAGAAAAGTTTTTGTTAGTCCAGTTAAGAGTCCAACAAAAGTGAGTATTATATGTGATCCATTTCATTTAGTGCAGTTTAGTCTATGTTAATGTTACAAATATATCTGTTAATAATAAATTGTGTATAATGTTTTATATGTATTTAATGAAAGATTTATATTTCTCTTTTTAGGTGCCTGCCTACTTAAGACATGCATCTTTGCTTTCCTCATCATCTGGGCCTTTGCCTTTGCCGCATCACTACAGGTTTCTTGCTGAGCACTTTCGTGGTATGGAAACTGTTGTTGCTTTACTTTACAACAGGAATGAAACAATAACATTTGCTAAATTAAAACCCTCTATACAAGAAATGTTGAAACGGACATTCTCAGAAAAACACTTGGCTCAAATTAAACATTTAGTGCCAGATTTCTATAATTTTGAAGTTCAAAAAGTAAAGAGCTTTAACTCTTCTTCTAATAGAGATGCTTATGAATTGGTTATATCACCCAATTTTCCAACTGATATTAAAGTTATGAATCCTAGTGTTTTGTTAGAGAGACGGAGATACTTCTATGACACATTGCTTAAAGAGGTTAAGAAGCATCACTCTCAATATTTGTCCACTCTCGACCCTCCTATTGATATTCCTGATAAAAATTTAGTCCGCTGGCATCCAGAGTTTGAAATTGAAAAAATACCAGAAATTGAGGGTGCTAAATTGCCAGAAATGCCAAATGTTGATAAGATGTCATCAGCACAGGATGTGCTAGCTAAAGCAAGAGATCTTTTCAAATGTAACACAAAGATGGGAAGAGCTTTGGAAAAGCTTGCACAAGCTAAAGCTAGAGGCCTTACCGAACAAGAAAAAGAAGTGACTGGCTTAAAAGACACAAATCTTAGTATAACACAAACCAGTCAACCATCCACCAGCAATGTTACCCTCATAAATCCAGCATTACGTAACTTACCAGCATCTTTGCTTGAAAAGGTAAAAGCAAAACAAGCTGCAAAAGCTCTTGAAGCAATGACAAGGTCATCAGAAACTGAACAGAAATATGTGATCTACACTCGCTTGCCTGACCTCGCCAGGACATTGAGGAACATATTTGTTACCGAGAGAAAAAATGTTCTAGCACTGAATATAATTCTTTCTAAACTTGGTAGTAGCTTTAAATCTCATGTATCATCGACAGATCTACAGCGGGATATAAAAATTTTGACAGAAACTGTACCGAAGTGGGTGCAATTGCATGAGATTAGAAATACATCATACTTAAAGTTGGACAAAATAACTGACCTAAAGCTAGTTGTGGCTACGATAGAAGCACAAGCTGCTAAATACAAAAGAGACTAATTTCAAGACTGATCTTTTGTAAGCAGTTTTAGTACAAATTGTATTAAAAACCTATTTATATTGTTTAATTATGTTCTTACATAGATATTTACTTTGGTGTGTTAGTGTTAATTAGTTAAGTCTACTTTTGACATGAAATCATAGATTTTCTTTTGACATTTTTGGCTGTATGAATTTTCAAACTTCTCAATGATTTTTGACATAGTTTTTCTATTGAAAGTATTCAATATTATCTATAATTCAATTTCAACCAAAGCTGCTACTGTTTTATAACTTTTTTTCGTTACTAACATAAATACTAATTATGAAAGTTTGATTAAATCTTTGAGGACCAAATATATTTGTGTTGATTTAAATATTACTACCTCAGACATGTAAAATAAAATTATTTAAATCAATATTTTTTATTTAATACAATTTCAAAAATCATTTATTTAACAGTTCATAATCGGGTGCTCCAGTTTTGTAGCTTTCAAAGAACTTCTTATATATATCATTTGATATAATGTACTCTTTAACAACCGGATCTTTTTGCATGTTCCTTATGTATTGCACCTGAAAGTAAACATTAAGTTACAAATATTTTTACATAGGTCTAGTGTCTGGCAAATAAGTTAGCCAGTGTTATGAAATAACAATAGGAATTGTTAAATGATTTCCTACTTAAACATCACGCAAAATATGGCTCAGTTACATGCCGAGACTAATGATAAGTTATTATTAAGTTGCTAATTTTGTATGTGCATAATTGTTTTGCTACCAATACTATAATTGAACCACCTAAATGGTGTGGTGGTTTTCATTGTGGATGATAATAAATAAAAAAATATAAAAGAAGACATTTTAATAAACCTACCCTAAAAATATTATTCGGATGGAATTATATTATACATGCAATGAGAAAATTTTCTTACAATAAAATCACAAAGTATTTCAAAGGAGAAATAATTATTTGGTTATGTGTAAAATTGGCTTATTTTATATAATAGGGCAAACGAGCCTACGGGATGCCCAAAAAGGGCAGTCATCGCAGCCCATAGACACCCATTTTTAGTGGGTGCGTTGCCGGCCTTTGAGGGAGCAGTACACTCTAACTTTGAATAGTTGGAGGTCGTATCTCTTTCATTTCACATTTCGCTAGTTAGCAAAATAAAGTGTCTTGTGAAGCGGACTGTGGAAGCCTACCAGCCATCAAGGTGATGTTGATGAAATTTTGAATTAATCGATTAATATCAGAATACCTACTGTACCTTATTCTCCCTAGCCTTAAAAGTTTATGAATCTATGAAAGCAACCTACCAATGATGGATATTTTTTGTCGTCTATAGCCATTCTAGAATCAAATTCAATAGCAACTGGAACCCTCTCAAACCAGGGCCAAATCATATAGTCAGCATAGCCCGGTTCGGTACCGTCCAAGAACGTGGTGCGCCGTTGCTTCAATTCATCTTCAATGAATTGCAATACAGCGTGATAATTCTTAATCGTATCCTCATTTATTGTATCTGGGGCTCGGAATATTTTGAAGATGAATGCATGCATCTAAAAATATAAGTAGGTATGTTAAGGTGGTATTGTCGAAAACATTTAAGTATTATACAGTATAATATTAGATTGTGAAGCAATATAAATTTTGGCAGACAAAATTTTAAATAGGTATTGAAGACAAAGCCTGTAAAATCCAAAAAAAAGCATATAAATAAAAAAAAATACATGCTCTATGGTCATTTCATAATATCTACCTCATAGATTATCTAAATAATAATTATGTCCTAAGATGAGTTAATAAATACACCTGATAATTAAATTTCTCTATCTGCAATTTTAAGTCATATTTGCAAATTAATAAATACAAGGTCACAAGGAAATTGCAAGTGTAACAATGCTGATGTTGGTAAAATTTTACTCATTACAGCACGATTGACCGCATTAATTACTCCGAGTATACAATAATAAGTATGAATTTTAGTTTATTGAATTCATTTGAGATTCTGATAAGCATATAATTTATTTGACGGCTCATTGGTCTAGTGGTTAGTACCCCTGACTGCGAATCCATGGGTCCCGGGTTCGGTCCCGGCTGAGAGAAACATCGATGTGATGAGCATTTGGTGTTGTGCTTAGGTCTTGGGTGTTTAAATATGTATTTATATGTGTTAGGTCTATCTATGTATAATATGTATGTATATCCGTTGCCTAGTACCCATAACACAAGCTTCACCAGCTTAACATGGGACTAGGTCAATTGGTGTGAATTGTCCAAAAATAAAATAATTTTTAAATATATTAAAAAACCATACTAAAAAATTCTCTGTTGAATTTTAAAGTCTACGTGACCACATTATCAGATTTATGTCTTGCTTTTTATTCCCATAACTCGCGTGATCACGACGATACTATTAAATTATTGTATCTATGCAAATACGAGTTATGTTTTATGCCCGACTAATTTTCAAAGTTGTACTAACTAATACTTACAGGACTTATCATTTCCACAAGAATTTTGTCTTTTGCCCTTTTAATGGGATCTTTGGGAAGCAGTGGGCGCTGCGAAAACACTTCGTCTATGTATTCGCTTACAATTAAACTCTCCGTTATACAAACGCTATCAGCTATTTCCAATGCTGGCACCTTTCCTGTAATAATTTAAGTTATCAACCATTGTCTTCGTTTATGTCAGCATCAGAAGAGGGTTAGAAAATCTGTTTTATACCAACGATTTATCTGCGTAATTGAGTTATTTATGTAAAACACAAAATTACGTCAACGAGTAAAACATATTAAAAGAATTCACTAATGAAATTAAATTGCGTATTATTCTGGTATAAATTTATGTCTGATGAGATAAAAAGTGCAAAAGGTGAATTTAAATTTACGTATGAAAATACAGGCCATATTTTAGAAACAAACAATCTATTGATCAGTTGATCACCTCAGTCTTTCGGTATTCATACATCAATCAAGCTTCAAAACATTCACAAAATAATTCGTTTAGCTTACCTTATCTACCTTAAAATAATTAAAGTTTGTCCTACAGCATCTCATTCGTAAATTAAATAAATAAAATTAAAAATAGAATGAAGTTTTAAAAAAGTACAAATCCCAACAAATGATTTCGGTAAAAAATGCCGGTGTGTTTGCAGAAATGTAATATTTTTGTGGGGTCAAGAAGAATAAGCTTATTTCTAAATTAACATAAGTAATGTTAATAGTATGTTTTAGAATAATAAATTACTGTACCTAAAGGACTTTTGCTCTTTAGCCACTCCGGTTTGTTAACAAGATCAATGTTAACAATTTCGTATTCAACATTCTTAGCAATAAGGGCGAGAACGGACCTCTGTGCGTAAGGGCAGTACCTCATGTTATATAAACGAAGTTTGCCATTCCATTTTGGAAGAGGATCTCCTGAAAATTACACAAAATAGTAATTCTTTAGTAGTTATTAATTATAAAAAATCTATCATTTAATTAATGAGTACATTATAAACGCCCAAATAAAAAATTGTGCAAAATGGCTGATTTTTGGAGGTTTGTTCTGAATTTGTTTCTTAAAATTTTGATTTCGCGTTTTGGTAGAAACCTAGATATAGTGCACAAGGTGCCTATTAGTTCAAAAGTTTCAAAGAAATATCTGTTACAACGCCGTAATCACGGACGAGTGTTTGTATGAAAAGATAGACGGGTTGGCCGCTCTTAATACATTATTTTTTATTACATCTCTAAAATGCTAATAATAATTTTAAAAATAATTGATAGGTATACTTAGGCGCTTTTAGTAATTGGGGGACATACCTACATAAAAAAATGAACAACTAAATTTTGAACTTCCTTTTTCGAAATCGTTCACAAGTATAATATAATAATAATATAAAATGTTATATAATTGTAATACTTAATATATAATACAACATTCATTTGGATTGAGAATTCATTATAATTCTTAACAAAACATATTTTCCTTGAATACAGATATTGTCTCAGAATAAATATATATGTAATTTAATGATATCAGCTTAAATAAAATTTGCAACAGCTGATGTTTATTATTTAGCAAATTAAGCTAAATACGCAATTTGCTAAATCATAAACTATCAGATTAGATTAAAATGGTACAAAAATACTAGATGATAGATCAGTAACTAATTATTACTACCTATTTATAATTATACATAATTAACTATCTCGTTGAAAAGAAGTTTTATGTTAGGAAAAAAAATTTTTTTTACTATCTATGCTTATTTTCAAAATACATAAAATCATTAGGTAAGTTAATAACCACAAACCTGTTTTCAAATGTTTTGTGTTAAAATCCACAGATTTCTTGATAGCAGACGCCATATTTCTGTATGTATACGGCAACACAGATTGCAGGATACTGCTAACTGGTGCTAACACCCTATACGAGGTTATAATTATATGCATAGCGAAACTCAACGTACTGGTTATCATATTAAAAACTTGTTTATGAGTTCAAAAGTTTCTCTTGTCAATGCGATAAGATAATTAAACAATTCTTTATCTATGTATTTGTTGACATAAAGAAAGAAAATTGAAGATATAAAACACTTTGTATGTCACACAATTATTACGTCTTGAATAGAAAAATAACAAGGTTACGCAGCAAGTTGACCTTGGCATAATAATCTGGAATCGATGAACGCGGGTGATTCAAATCTCAATTTCATATGAAATAGAACGATATCTTTTACAAATCTGTATACGATATGCTTATCTAACTTTATCTGGAGCATTTTAATAATTTATTTATCTTTATTATACCATAGTTCTATTAAAGTACTATCCGTGCAGAGTCGGGTAGATATAATACAGACCGAGTTGCCTAGTAGTCTATTATACCTAATTTAAAATACTATGTTGGACTGACTGGATATGAGTTACATATTTATAAATATATTGTGTCTTTCTAGGAATATGAAGGTTTTGAAAGTGCGAAGGCGGTGACCGACATAAGCTTTTTAATACGGCTCAGACCAAAT